GCGCGCGCTTTCATCGATAGCGGCGCAACAGGAATCTTCATCAGCCCGAGATTTGTCCGAGAGCATCGACTTCGGACAGAGCCCCTTCCCCGACCCATCCCCGTCTTCAACGTGGATGGAACTCCGAACAAGGAAGCACTCATCACGCGAAGAGCCCTCTTATCTTACAAGATAAGCGGAGAACCCCGATTTGTCAAAGCCTACGTCGCCAGCATCGGCAAAGAAGACATCATCTTCGGCCATACCTGGCTCAAGCTCGAAAACCCCAAGATAGACTGGAAGACTGGACGAGTTGAGCTAAACCACCGGTGGACGAAAGACGAGACCAGGGCCTGGAAGATGGACCTGTACCAAAGGCGAGTGGCTCGGCTAGAACTGAAGAAGGCCGTAACTACCCCACTCCCAGAACCAACGGAGGACGAATTCATTGTCATCTCCACCTCGGAGCACGCAACCCTTCCCGAACGAAAGACTAGCGGCGCAGCAGGATATGACATCTCTGCTGCGCATCAACTTACCATCCCTGCCCGACGACGAGGCCTGGTCAGCACCGATCTTATCATGGCTATCCCCGAAGGACACTACGGAAGAATCGCACCTTGATCCGGCCTAGCACTAAAGGAAATTGATGTCGCTGCAGGAGTAATCAACTCCGATTACCGAGGCAAGGTCTCAGTCCTGCTGGTCAACAACTCCGAGCTCCCGTTCACCATCAAAACTGGCGACCGAGTTGCCCAACTCATCCTTGAAAGGATAAGCACCCCACCAGTAACGCTAACCGACTGCATCGACGAAACAGAACACGGGGAGGATGGGTTTGGGTCAACGGGTATTGCGTCCATCGAAGAACAAGCAGAGGACATCGACGACGATGAGTTCATCATTTCCTACTTATCAGGAACACCGATGATCACCAAGTACGAGAAACAGGAATCCTTGGCAGTAAGGGATGTTCCGCTCAAGGAGCGACTCCCCGAACTCTCGTCCAGCTACAAACGACTCCACAATGGCATGATCTGGAAGATCCACCACAACATTAGGTGAGTCACAACATCCACCGAACTTGCAGCCTCGAACGCCCAAGGCAAGACAGAAAAAATGCTACCACAGATGGTACCATCCTACCTACACGATCTCCTCCCCGTCTTCGACAAAGCCACTGCTGCACGACTTCCGAACCACACTGAGTACGACCACGAAATCAACCTCAAGGAGGGCTTCGCAGACATGAAGCAACAGGTCTATCCGCTCAACCCACAGCAACGAAAGGAACTCAACAAGTTCCTCGAGGAGAACCTGAGTAAAGGGTACATTCGCCCTTCGAAATCCCCGTTGGCGAGTCCATTTTGTTGGTAAAAAGGACGGTTCACTACGTCCCTGTCAAGACTACCGGCTACTCAACGAGAACATGGTCAAGGATCGATACCCACTCCCACTTATATCAGACCTCCTCGACAAGTTGAAGCATGCCAAGGTGTTCACTAAGATGGACCTCCGCGCCAGATACAACAATGTCCGAATCAAGAAAGGGGACGAATGGAAGGCAGCGTTCATCGTACCCGGAACTGATGGCAAACCGCCGCAGCTGTACGAACCAACGGTGATGTTCTTTGAGCTGTGTAATTCCCCCGCTACGTTCCAGCAGATGATGAACACAATATTCGCAGACATGCTTCAAGAAGGCTGGCTCTGCATTTACATGGACGACATCCTGATCTTTTCCCAGGACAAGGCAGAACACGAAGAACGAACACGACGTGTTATCGAACGACTTCAACAACACGACCTCTACCTCAAACCGGAGAAATGCGCCTTCGACGTCACCGAAGTCGAATTCCTCGGCATGATCATCTGCCCAGGAGAAATCACAATGGACCCCATCAAACTAGCTGGTATTGCAGATTGGCCGGTGCCGTCCAACCTCAGGCAAGTACGCGCCTTCGTTGTATTTGGAAACTTTTACCGCTGGTTTATCAAAGGCTTCTCGGACAAAGCGCAACCGCTGGTTGCTCTCACCCGGAAGGATGTCGCCTGGACCTGGGGAACTGACCAACAGAAAGCCTTCGAGACCCTCAAGAAGGCATTCCTAGGAGAACCGGTACTACGCATGCCGGATCCCGATCGACCCTTCGCTATCGAAACCAATGCCTCCAAGTTTGCAACCGGAGCAGTACTACGCCAGCGCGATGACAATGGCGACTGGCATCCTTGTGGATACCTCTCTCAAAGCTTCAATGCGGCTGAGAGAAACTACGACATCTACAACAGGGAGCTGTATGCGGTCATCCGTGCACTAGATGAGTGAAGGCACTACCTCATTGGCAGCCCATACCCAGTGACGATTCTCAGTGACCACAAGAACCTCACATATTGGAAACAAGCCAAAAACATGAACCGACGACAAGCACGCTGGGCGAGTAAACTGACCGAGTTTGACTTCCGCCTGGTACACGTTCCTGGTACCCAAATGGTGCAGAGTGACGCTCTCTCCTGCCGACCCGACCATGATGACAGCTCTAATGACAACACCGACATTGTTATGCTCCCACCGGAAGTATGGGTCGCTGCCATCGACATCGACACCCGCGACACCATCCTTTCCTTTAAGGATGACCCAATAATGAAGGAAGGCCTCACTGCGGCGCACACTGGAGGAACACCATGCACTGGAACAGACTGGCCCATCGATGATGACCTCCTCTTATACCAGGATCGGGTCTATGTACCCCCAGATGAGTCTCTCCGCAAACGTCTTGTCTCCCACTATCACGATCTCCCCTCCGCAGGACACCCTGGTGTTCAGAAAACCCTCCTCGGCTTGCGCCGTGACTACTGGTGGCCGAGCATGGCCCAGTTTGTCGCTCGCTATGTTAACGGCTGTGGCATCTGCCAGCAAATGAAGGTTAACACGCATCCAGCCCGACCGCCCATCACCCCCATTTGACCCCGCGCAAATGCCAAGCCCTTCAGCACATTTTCATGTGATTACATCACCGACTTGCCTCCGTCCAATGGCTTTGATTCCATTTTGGTTGTAGTGGACCACGACCTTACGAAGGGGGTAATTTTCATCCCATGCAACAAAACAATTGATGCTCTTGGGACGGCAGACACAATGTACCGAGAGGTCTACAAGTGGTTTGGACTCCCAGACAAGATCATCAGCAACCAAGGACCGCAATTTGCGTCCAAAGCCTTCCAAGAACTTTGCAAAATGACTGGGGTCCAATCGGCCATGAGTACGGCATTCCACCCGCAGACCGACGGCGAGACAGAACGAGTGAACCAAGAGCTGGAGATCTACCTCCGCTGCTTCACTGCCAATGATCCGGATAAGTGGGCTGACCATCTTCACACCGCGCAATTTGCTCACAACTCCCACGAGCATTCCACGACGAAGACGTCCCCATTCAAACTCATGATGGGATACGAACCTCGCGGAATACCCACCGCGCACCCCGGATCAAACACGCCGCAAGCAGCTTATCGCCTCAAGGACTTGCAAAACATCCGTGAGGAAGCACATGCAGCAATGGAGATGGCCCAGAACGTCCTGGCCAAGAGAGTAAAAAGGAAGGGGGGTTCCTTCCGTAAAGGTCAGCTGGTATGGCTAGACTCCCAGAACTTGAAGCTGCCGTACCCATCCAGGAAACTAGCCCCGAGGCGAGAAGGGCCATTCAAAGTCCTAGACAAGATCGGAACAGTCACGTACAAGCTAGACCTCCCTAGCACCTGGCGAGTCCACCCCGTTTTCCATGAATGGCTTCTATCCCCTTATTCAGAAACAGAGATCCATGGTCCGAACTACACGAGGCCACCTCCTGACCTTATCGAGGGCGAAGATAACTACGAAGTCGAAGCCATCATCGGACACCGAGAGAACAAGAGGATGCGGCGCCGTGAATATCATGTCAGGTGGAAGGGTTATGTTACAATGGTCCATACTCCTATATCGATGCCTGACTCGTAGACAACGAGCGAGGGCTTATGGACAGTGCGTCGTCCCGAAGATCGAGCGAGGAGGTCGAGAATGACCACTACCCCAAGTGAAGAGGAGTAGAGACTTGAATGAATAACCTAGGTCGAACTTAGGGTTCGACCGACTAATGGTACAACTATTT